GGCGCCCTGGGGCAGGGGGGGGGCGGGTGTCAGCAGCCGCGTTTGCAATCTGCTGGCGGAGCAGAGCCGGGGCGGCCGCCACGCGGAACGCCCCCCCCCCCCCCCCGCGGCGCCAAGCGCCCGCGGCTGAAGGAGGAAGCGGCCGGGCAGCACCCGGCAGCGCCCGCAGAGCTGCTGGGTCCCGGGGCGGAGGCCAGCCCCTCCGCTGAGGGCTGCTGGCTGAGCGCCGGCGGGGCGCGACGCAGGGCTCTCCTCGAGGCCGGGGCCTTCAGGGGCCTCCCGAGTCAGCCAGGCCTCGTGTGTCGTCACCAGGTGCAAACGTATTCATCCACACAAACCAGTACGATAATTTAACTCGTCGAAACGGACGCAATGATCGTCCCTTTGACAGCCTCTGTGTTCATCGCGACAACAGCAGAGCTGCCGCGTGCGATGGCTGTATGTTCTTGGGAGCTTGCCCGCGTAATTCCTGTGCATGAACTTGTTCGTGAGCCCCATCACGTTTCCCTGGTGCCAGAGCCGCATGATTACTTCTGCCGTGTTCGTCCGGCACTGAAAGGGTAAACTCCTATGAAGTTAGGGCAGCCGTTCAGCATAGAAGCCCTACAACGTCAAACTGTAGACATTCGGTCAAGTTCAAATTAATTTTTATATACTCTTTAATACATAAACTCCTAAGACTCTGTGCAGTGTTTTATAATACAGTAATGCAAGAAAGTTTTATCAATGCAAATGGTTTGTAATGTAATATAAAAAGTTTTAAGTCAAATTTATGTCCCTTTTATGTCCCTTTCCTCATGTTATTGCTTAGTGGCCTTGCTAATGTAACGATACTGTTGCTCCTGTTGGTAGGTCTGCTCAGACAATTGTTTTCGGTCTAGGAGTTGTCTTGCCACACCCATTACTTTTCTCCTACAGGGCAGTACGTTAGGAATGTTGATGCCTCCTGCATTTAAAAAATACAAAGGTTTGCTTTAAACCATTATAGATCTGATTTTTAGTGGAAGAACTGTATCTCCACTAGCTTGTAGTTAAAATTGAAACGTTGCTAAACTTATCGCTGTAGGACCAAAATACAACACCAGAATTAAAAATTTCCCTTCCAGCACCCACCTATCCTGACAAGGTTGGTGGTTTGGTTATTTTTCATTAATTTATGTTTTTTTCTGACCATTTGCTTTTTTTTCCATGACATTTTCCATAGTGTTTCTTTACTTTTTTCCTATGGCCTCACCCCTCTAATTGTTCTGTCAGATTAGATGGGAGCTTTTAAATGTATGCTTCATAATTCATCCTAATAGCTTTTCAAATATAAAATTAGACTGATTGAGCTATAACTTTTCAGGTTCTCCTCTTCCTCCCTTAGAGATGGGTGTGGTGTTTCCCAGCACTACCTCTATAGGATTTCTGAGAGTTACGTTACAAAACAATACAATTTTGTTGTAAGTCTCTAAATAACCTGGTTTATAGGGCATTTTATTTACATGAGGAAAAAAAAGTTAAGCAAACATCCAAACGATCTTTATCCATATCTCTAGTTCAACCCGTATTAGCCATTTGTATGGCTAAAAATTCCCTGTGTTTTTTTCCTTTTCCAGAATCACCTCAGTGACACTCTGGAGAAATCTGTATTCATTAAGATAACCTGATAAGCCTTCTGGACACAATATTCAGCTGAGTTTGGGAATAATACCGAAGCACAGATGTTCTCCTCCAGCTCTGGGCTTCTCACGGCAGTGTTGAAGAAGGCAGAGAACATCCAACCAGGCTGAGTGTCGGTTGCCTCTCCCAGGGAGACCTGTGAAGTAGCAAACGGGCAAAAAGGAATACTAAACTGATCATAGAAAAGTGTGAATCATACATTTCCCTTCTTTAATAAAGAAAAGCTCTCTTGGCTGAAGAAATGAAGGAATTAATAAACTGCAGATGTGAAACCAACAATTCAGAAGGCGTGCTTACATGCAGGATTGAGTAGATAGCCATTTTCCAAAAGCGGTTGATGCAGATTATAAATGAAGGCCAAAAGGGACCATCAGCTTATCTAGCGCAAGCCTATCTACCTAGCAGCCTGTGACCTACACCCAGCTTGCTGGAGAGTTCTGACTGGCTCCCCAAATAGTTTTGAAAGCTGCTTAGTGCACTCAAACACACCCAGATCTCCCACCGCATTGTCCCACATCAGGATCAAATGATTCACCCAGGGAGATGCAGAATTCAGATAGCTACAATGTGGCCTTTTCTGGTCTCTTCTACTAAAACAAGTCTTATGAAATCAACTGCTCATTCCTGTAGTGACGTCAATCATTTGCAAGAAATCTCTGTATCAGACAACTCGGCATGTCTCCATTGCACAATGACTTGTTCTGTGCATGAAAGGGCTTTACTGTCATGCCTAGCGCAAGCCAGATGTCCGCTATTACGCAGCAGAAGAACATTTCTGTAGAGCCCCCTCTAGTAGGTACCCCTAGTGAAACAATACCAGTGACTGTTTATAAAGTCTTAAAGGAAAATAAATACGGGTTGTGTCTCTGACAGCTGTTCTGTTAATGCTCCTCATCTCTTTTCAAGAGGGAAGGGAAGATACAAGGAGTTAATGAAAGTCAAAACGATAGTGGTAACTGTAAAATGCAATGCTTGAAAACTGTAACATGCTGAATTGTGAATTGATGTTAAAAATCCTTAAACCTTACATCTGTGACACAAAGATGTCAGCTTGTTCCTTTGTTATCTTTATATTTTCAGAGGAAATGCACAGCTAGGACAGCATGTGCGTTTATATCTACTCAGTATTATCTGCTGCCCTACAAGCTCCACGCCAAATCTTATCTGCTCTCTGCAAGTTTCATATTTTTGTGACCCCACAAAAATCAGCTGACTAGCGAAATCAGGGAGATCAGTGTCTGGTGAACGCTGCAAGAGAGGGTGGTTGAATTCTAGCATTCTTATCCATTTTTTTTTTTTATCTTATTTTAAGTATCTGGAAGGAGAAGCAAGTCTAAAAACTTAGTGTTTGTCAGTTTCATAAACCATAGTGATTTGGATTCTGCAGAATTATGAGAAGCATGCCTAAAAGAATTGTATTGTGGCTTAGTGCTTAAATAACAGTAGGTGTTAAGTACTTTGCTATTTTTTTCCTTTTATCCCAGGATATAGAATCATAGAATCGTACACTGGTTTGGGTTGGAAGGGTCCTTTAAAGATCATCTAGTCCAGCTCCCAATATAAATTCTGCAGGCCTTGGCTAGGTCAGTAGTTGTTTGGGGAACGCCTTAAGGAAAACCTCTATCAAAAAGTTACCTGTGTTAATTGTTAAAATAAATACATACCATGCCATTTTTGTGTGGGTATGCATTGTGCATCATGAGTAGAAATAGCATGCACACACATTGTTTATAAAAGATTTTGTATACGTAGATATTACCTCTTCAGAGGTAACCCAGATTTTCACAAGCAAATCTTCTGTAACCTGATTGGCAAAAATGCTTTTGTTTTGTGTTTTTTTGATAAGCCACAGTGAACATAGCGCATCAGGACATGAAATGTGGTGATTTTTCTAGCTCTCTTTAATAACCCATGGAAATCTACAGAGTCTGGAAAGGTTTAAAGCTAAACTGGCAGAAAAGGTTTTGACCTAGCCCACTGTCAGTGCTGCAGTTCTGTGTATTATACATGCGGAAACATTAACAGATAATTTTAGATTACTACTCCTTTCAGGCCATGTAATCTTTCTAGAAAACCGTAGACTATATTATTGCTGGGAGAAATTACATCTGACTGATAGCTTCATATCATGTTCACTATTGATGAAAGTTTACTTCAGAACCTGGAGACAATCAGGGAAATGTTCCACATGCAATTAAGTTAATATTAAGAGCGATAAAAAGTTGGAAAGTTGGGCAACCTAGAAATAATTCTTCCCAGTTTCTAGGGGAAGATTTTTTTTCCTTCAAGAGCTTTTTTCTTTTTAGGACAGCCTTCCATCCATCAAGAGCATCTTCCATCCATGCAAGACCATGTGCAACTTGAGTACTCCCCTTGCAGACACACAGATGGAGCAGCTACCAAAGCACATGTGCTACTGAAAGAGCACCCGGCCTCTGTCTGTTCTGTCATTTAAGTTCTTAAGACCAGCCTCATGCACAATCCACACTGTAAGCCTCAAACAGTGCCTGAGCCGCTGACTGCACGATGATTTGCCTGAACAATGGAGAATGAAGTCCTACATTTGGCTTCAGGAGAACTAGGTATCTGAAATCCCGCATGATCCTTTAATTATATATTTTGTAACTTACCTCAGGCACATGTCTGTGTTAAAGAATCAACAAAAATTTTATCATTAACTTAAAACATTTACAAGCAAGACATCACGAAGTCTTTGCAAAAAGGGGAATATAACTAAAAAGCATTTATTGTTAATTATTACTGTTATTGCAGTCATGGGATCACTTATGCATTTAGTTTTCTGGTCTGTCTCCTTCTGCATGCCTGCTAGCTGTGTTGGAGAGAATGTTCTGCAGCTTTATTGCCATGATTTTTAAAGCGCTACAAGTCTTTTTAAATTCACTTTCATATTTTGTTTCCTCTTCTTGAGCCCTTACAGGAAATCTGGCAATGACCGTGACACAGGATCAGCACAAATCCCTACTTTGTTTTTCTTCTTTTTTTCTTTTTTTGCTGACAAGAAAAAGTTCAGAGAAACTTAGCTTGCAGTTTAGAGGGCTGGGTAAAATGCTGATGGCCAAAGACAGGTGTGGGAGCGGCTCAGCTGTTCCACCATGAGACACTGACTCTGGGCTCTACTGGGGATACTACCACCTCCTTAAATCCAATTCTTAAGACTGTTATATGCCTGATATGTAAATAACAACTAGTAAATAATATAAGGCATACATGAGTAATATTTTGAACATGTCTTCCTGCCAAAAGACAGACAGTAAAAAATCAAAATAGAGGTCAGCTAGAGATGAGGACTTAACCAGAGTAAAATGTAAACCTGGGACCCATCTCTCCTGTAGTTCTACAAGAGTCCTTACAAATGAGCAGTCATGCAAACCTCTATTGACTGGAGAGATGTTGAGGCATGGTGTGATGACTATTTCTTGTCAGGACCACGACTCACTCACTTTTCAAGTTCCACAAGTTGAACCAGTGCTTTTGGAACGGGATGAGGAGACTCCAAAGCGGGTATTGCTGTTATTGCCTGTAATTAGAGAACATGATATGAAGCCTGTTTAGGGTGAATTCTCAGACAAGCCAAGAGGTCCATCCAAACACATGTGAACATATGAAATAACAGCAGTTTCATAGAAGCAACCAATAGTGGCTGCTTGAATTTTGCCGAGCGGGTTTTTCCATGTCTTTGCTATTTGCAGTGATGTGGAGTAGTGTGATGGCTTGTGCAGGTGACTTCCAAAGGTGTCCTCAGACAAGATGTCATCATATTCTCTACTCTCACTTCTATTTCTTCCAAACACTGTGTTATTTCCTCTGTGTTGCATTCTGCACCCTTTATTCTGGAATGCTATTACAGTTCTATTACTCTGATTTTGACTTTTCCCTCAACCAGCCAAAACCTAGGAGACCAAAGCCGCAGGAAAAATAGGAAGACTGCCAGTGTCAAGGTAGGGCTAATACATATTTTTTTAATATATATATATATATACACACACACAGAAATAATATTCTGTATTCAAAATTTTACTTTGCCTTCATTGTTACCTTCAAGAACTGCATCTGTGGAAAATAAAATATAGGACTGTAATATCAGAAGATTGGGGACTTCTGTTGTACGTATTTCATCCAAAAAGCACAAAAATAAATGTATGACATGTCAATAATTATAATTTTCAGCAAAAATGTGAACTCTTCAGGAGAATAGGAAATAGTTGGAAATCTGAAGCTAGTAATGGTCTATCTTTTTTTTTTTCAGCAGTTAGTATGAATTTATGACAGCTACATTACATACTCTAGTATTAAAGCTATTCCAGTCTATTCAATCAATAAGCATTTAGCACTTCCAGAAGGTGTGCAGTTATCCAGCCGACGGTAGGCATACCCATTACATTCTGAGCGTGGGTTGCAGATACCAAGTAGCTATACATCAATAACTGGTACTGTAGCTGCTGAACGTTTTACAAAGTACTGTCTGCTGAAGGAACAACTTGTAAGCCAGTATGGCTTTGTTAACAGAAATCAAATCTAGGCAGGGGCTGAATGCTAATCGCTATTGCTGACTCTTTAAATAATGGCACTGACAACAACAGGAAAGGTGTTACTGTAAGATAGCTGCTCTAAGTCCTCCTCGCATATCAAATGATGTTTCCAGATATAAATCAGACAAAGATCTGACTCTTCCAGACTTCCATCAGCATTCAAAAAACAGAAGGAGGCAGTCAGTCTGTGCAGGATTTGATTGTTGCAAGCACATGTATTGGCACAGGTCTCCCTCTGCTTTGACATAGAACACATTTAATAAACAGTTCTTCCACCAGTCCTCAGAAGGTCAGCATTGTTTTACAATATTTCTTTATCTATAGAGACCACTTGTGGTACTTATGTTGACGTTCATTATGGTACTGGCAGGCCCCTTTTTTGTGAAAATAGTTTTTACTCACGGTGGGAGTAGATGGCTATCAATCCCAGCTTCCTGTGTGCTGCAGCAGCAAAGTATATTTTGTTAAGTGAAAACTGTCACTTAAACCGATCTACTTTTGTATTTCATCAGCAAATTGTTTCAGCAGTTCACAAACAATTTGCTGCTTATGCTGAAATGGCAGCTGCTTTTGAATTTCCAAGATGGACAGAACAGTATAAAATGGTTGATTTAGCCAGTTATACCTTCCTTACTGGTGCTGGTGGTACATTCACATACTCTTTTCCTAAGAAGGGCACACAAGATTTTTCTCACAGTTCAGCATTCCAGGTATATGCTGTCTGAAAAGAAGTATCATCAACAATCAACCTTCAATATCATGTACTTGAAGCCATAAGTATTTTAGTTTGTCAGACTCCATTTCATGTGAAACAATCTCCATCTTACACTCAGCTATCTGAATCTGTCCCTAAGCTCTCTTAACATCTCTTGCAGACCATGACGTTTGCAGCCACTGCTGTACTCTTGGGAAAATAAAGCAACATAGAGCCACAAAAATAAATTTAACCAAAAATATGTAACCCATTTTTTAATCACAATTCAACAGTTCTTGAAAGAGAACTTTTTAATACAAATCCCTCTTATTCATTAGCTGGACCCAGTTTTCACTTCAGTTTTTATGTATTTCACAACAGATGAGCAAAAAACAGACTTGAACTTTCTGTAAGTTCACTGTATATTGTCGCTGAATCCCATGTACTGTGCTGTTGTAACTTCCATTCCCTGGCTAGGGTTCAGTGCAGTGAACTATGCTTGGATGACCTGTTATAAATCATTAACAAGAACTTGCTTGTACAGGTATTTCTGGTGGGAAGCCTTTGAAGTCACCTGGAATGAACTGCTGTGGATTAAGCTGATGAATCGTTTTCCTCCACAT